CCTTATCCTTCATTAAAAAATTTAATGAAACCATCAACTAATCATCGCAATCAAATAAAACAAAAAGAAATTATTATAAATACACAAGTTACAACGCTTTTCGAAAATTTATTAGCTATAGCATGATGTTTGCGAGACAAAGAAGGAATGAAGATGTAAAATTTTTTAAATCGGAAAAAAGTTATAAGATATTAGTCTTGCGATTATTTAATATTTTGGAAAGAATCTAATAACTTCTCCCAGGTGTAGCATTAAATGTAAGATAAAGAACTTACTCATTCTGGTTAGGTAACATTCATTTATTAATAATAAACTATTTTTCATTTATTTATTTTTATAAAATGCAAAGAATCTTTTAAATATTTCATTATTATATTCTTTAATATAGGGTTTCCCATCTTTATACTTAGCTTCTTCATATAATTTATATATTGGCGTTGACCACCAAAAATTTTTAATCCCTTCTTTACCATCAAGGTCTAATGTATTAAGTTGATATACGGAAAAATGATATTTCTGTCCATCAGACTGAATACATTGTACAACAACAGGCTCCGATAATTCTTTTACATTTAATCCAAACCTTTGACGAGCATAAACTGTTGCTGCTGTAAATGATTCCATCAATGAACGTGCCTGAATTTGATCTTCAGTAACAGGCAATCCTGTTATATTCTTTACTTCTTCCGGATCATGATTCACAAAAATTGTGTGAATATTCTGCATAGCAGAATTTGCGGCAATTGCTATAAAACACAATACAATACATTTAATTTTTAAAAAACATGTAGTACGCAATGTTCAAATTAAACTTACGGTATATATTGTCAGTTTTGTAAATATTTGTTTTTACTAAACCAAGAGCAAAATGTAATGGAAAAAGATCCGGTAGGTCGTGTTTCATACTTTCATTTACATCAGCTATTGATGTTAAGGGCATTAGTGATGTTATTAGATCCATTTTTAAGCACAAATTTATAAAATATGATTCTTTCTCTGAAATTTAGAGAAATACAATTTTTATTAATAGATTATAATGTTATGTGTCAAACTTATCACTTCTAGTATTATCTTATTTTGTAATAACTATTTTGTACAAGCATTAAATGTGTACATATAGTGTCGCAAAGAAGACGAGATTCATAGATTTCAGTCAATAACATACCTATGCATGTAGACAAAATTCCATCACGTACTACTGTTCGAGTTTGTGCAACATTAAGTCCGCATAAAGATTCACATAGTTGCAAAAATTTATATGATATGTTATGCCTACAAGAACATCCTAATTTTAAAATGAAGATGTAAATATGGAAAAAGTATAAAATAAATGAAATTATATAAATTAATACCTACATTTTTCTTGTGCTCGAAATACCATACAATCTAGGAAATACCCATCTTGGTCTTTCAGGATCTTTCAATTTTGGTAATTTTACCTGTTGTGCATCAAGTACAGTGGATGTTAAAACAATTCTAAAATAAAGAAAAATTAAATGTGTAATGTAATTTAGATGAAATATGTATAAGAATGTTGTTACAAACAATGTCATCATTATATTACTTTACCTTTTTACTAAATTGTCTATATGTTCTGGGATATCTGTGATCAAATCTTGTATTTTAGTTGGAAGTTCATCATCAATTTTTAATGTTTTTGTTAATAAACAGGCTTGGGGCACACCTTCTTGTAAAACATTGTAATCTTTATACGTCAAACAACTTCTTTCCTTCCAGTCAGGATCTACGTTAGATCTGGGAGGTAAATCGATTCTAATAACATAAAAAGTACATTAAAATATCTCAACTAGAAGGTATAATAATATTAAAATATCATAACATACAGATTACAACATAAATATTAGTAATGCTTCAAATATATATTTCATTTAACATTAACACTAAACCTACCAAGTAATAATACTAATTGGCATGCACTGCTTCACAAAAGTGAGAAGACCGAATTTATTTGGAATTTGTAAAGTTTTTATTATAAGACTTGTTCCAATAATATAACTTATTCAAGCGTTTTCCACGAAAGAGTCTCGGAACTTTGCAGAATTGCAAAAAAGAAAGCGGTCACTTTGACTGCGGTAGGTTTAGTGTTAAGTATGACAAATATGTTATTACTTATACAGAAAAAGTAATAGAATAGCAGCAATTTATAAAATTTACAATGTAATTGATATGAAGCTAACAGAACTGTAAAACATTAAACTAATCATTTAAACAAATGGAATCATTGAGATAGATACTATTACTTTTCAAATTGTTTTGGTGGATCTGCTACTTCTGATGCATCTTTTACTTCATAACCCATGGATTTTACCATTTTCTCTGCATTAGATATAAGCATAGTTCTTTTTCTCTGTCTTTGCCACAAGAATGCTATCATTCTACCTGTATTTTGTTTACAAAGTATTTGAGTAAACTTCATCGTTATTTATCTGAAATTCAATTTTGAATTTATTTATTAAAAGAGAATACAATTAGTTCAAACTTCTGGTTTAATAATTAATTCTAAATATTACATTATACTAGATCTATGGCAAACAGTGTTATAATATTTTAAAAGAAAACATGCCACTAGTTTTGTATAGTGATATCTTAAATATTGTTATTATTACCGTAACTCAGTACATATACGAAGAAAACTTAGAATATTAATTTATTCTGAAAATTTCTGCACTCCATATGAAAAACATAAATATAGAGGTTGAAAAGATGGTATATACTTACATTATGTATGTGTATTTAACTACTATTGCTACTATGTAAGTATATACACCCAGTTCCTGTTCTTAGAGTCGTTTTCGGTGGCGGCGAAGCTTCTCATCCGGGATATGGTACAGAAAATGTTTTGCTCTGATTGGCTGACAATTACAGTTGAACAGTGCTGCTCTCACAGTCTAAGACAAAGAGGGGAATTGGTGAGTGAGCAAGAGAACACAAATCAGCACAACCTCATGCAAAACAAGTTACACCGATGGCCAATGTAGTTTGCCTCACTTTACCGTGTTTACGATCTCGCTCTATTCGCGCATCCGTCTGCCTGGCACTCCATCTGGATCACTCGGCGCGATATTCGACTTGTACTGTTACCTCATAGGATTCTTAACCACATCGTGCAGAATATTTGCGAACGTCTTGAAAAGGTGGTCATTTCTACGATTATTCAAATTTTCGAAAATGTGTATGCTACATTTTAGATAATAGTTCACACAAAATGAATACATTTTTTTCAGAATCTTAGAAACGTGACCGCGGATGATATTTACAAAACAAAAATATTTTTACTTTTTGTAAAAAGTAAAATATTCGTAAAAGTATAAATTGAAACGTGAAGGCAGTTTTCGTATAAATCAGGAAAACGTTCTTGCCAATAGATTCTTTCCCATCTAATTTCAAATGAACTTGATATAAAATGGCCCCTACTTAACATGAAACTATTGTTGCTATCATTAAATTACGTTAAAATTTTAGGTTAAATATTTATTTTTGAATAAATACATAAATTTTTATTTCATAAATTATTTACAATGTCGAAAATGTACATAAATTTAGAATACAAATTGTATATCCACTTTAATATCCTTTATATAACAAACTAATAGTAATACATGTCATACTTGCTATAATTACCATTTTATTGCAAGAGCTGTATTCATTTTTTTTATTTCATGGTATTCCGTATGGAAATATGCTAAAGCTTTATCTGTATTCTCTCCTTCTAACCAAGTTCTATACAATTTCTTAACAGTTTCGTTTTTATCAGGATCACTTTGAGGAAGTTCATGATATACAGATTCTAATTTTGATGCTAACTCCCGTGGTTGAATGTTATTTAAGGGTCTAATTTGAGCTCCTCCATTAAGACACCCTGCCAATTAAGAGTTAAAATGTATTAATGCAGTATCTTATTTTTATATTAATATTATAGTGTTTAGTTTAACAGAAAATATATAAATAGCACACAAAATATATGTTGAAGAGAATGGATCGCATTTTTATTTATTTGATATTTGATTTTGAAACGTTCTGTGAAGTGAATCAGACACACTACATATTAATAAAAACTTACCACAGGGACAAGCCATAACTTCAACATAATCATATGGGCACTTTCGTCGTTTCAACTTTTGTACAAGGTTTTGTATATTTCTAAATCCATTAACAATAGCAAATGTTAAAAGTACTTCTCCATTCTTTTGAAATACCGCTTCTTGGAAGTCAGGATTTTTGAGAACTTTAAATTCAACATGTACATCATTTTCCTCAAATAAATGCTTCACAGCATAGCGTAAAATAAAGTTTGCATAGCCACCAGATCCAGAACCATTATGAGCATATAAATCATTTTTCATATTAGTAATTCCTGACCCAAATGGTTTTTTAATTTTTTGTTCTTTTACTTCATTCAATGTTAAGTTGCATTCATTAAGCATTTGTTCTAGTTCAACTATAACAACAAATACAAGTAAATGTAATATAAAAGTGTACATATGGATGATTTTTTAAGATGTCGTACTATATTTTAGCGGGTGTCAAGACGAATTCAATAAGTCATAATGTACATGATAAATAAAATTTTGAACACATACTTGGGGTTACTACACAATCTACATCTCTAGATTTTCTTTGCTGATTGTAAAAATCTTCTCTAGATGCCTCTAATTTTTTATCGTAACAAGGCATTAGAGTAACATGATACACTTGCTCTGGCGGGAGACCCATAGTTTCAGCTAAATGATATTTCACTAATGATCCCATGATCTGTTGAGGAGACTTTGTTACACTGATATATGGAAGTATGAAGTTGCCATGAGTCTTTTCTGCATAGCACACCCAACCTGTATTTACAAATATATAAATGCTTAAAGTCATTAAATATTTTAGAACTTTAATGCTTTTTTTTTCTCTATATTACATAAATCACCTGGACAAGAAGAAGATAACATTGGTAGCTGATCTTTTTCACCTCTTTTAGCTGCTTTATAACGATCTACAAATTCTTTGGCTGACTCTAGAAGAGCAAAATCATCAGCTGCAGTCATGTCCAAAACTGAATCTGCCCCTAATCCATAAAAGTATCCAGCTAGTTTATGTACTGTTTCTTCGGGATTAAGACTATAACGTTCTGCTATAGATAAGACAGCTTGTACAGACAGGCTGACTACTATGTACATTGAACATGTACCATCACCATCCTACAAAATACATTTAGTAAATATTACATTTGGTTTCTACATAAAATATTAATAAATTCATTATTCTAATAATTTTTACCTGACATTGAGCCATCTTTTCACTGAACACCCGCAATAGTTCTTCTTGACTTTGTTGCGTTACTAATACACTCTCTGCTGACGTTATACACCCACTACAAGCTAAACAATCAGCAAGGGTAATTTCAACTTTTTGTAATTTTTCAGGTTCTCCAATCTAATAAGCACCATATAAATAAAATAATATGACACTATATAATAATACTTTTACATACATATAATAAAATTAGTTAATGTACTTCATTTAACATTGAAGGCACACCATCTTCCTCTATTTTTATACTTGCTCCAGTTTTCCTCTTCGATGTTTGAATTTCAATAGGCTTAATGCATTCCTTACAAATGGAAAGAAATTACATGTAACAATACATTTATATAGAAAAAGAAAAGAAATAAGTACCTGCGATGGAGTGATAAAATCATCCAAATTTGTTAATTGTAAAGCTCCACTAAATCGGGATGCCATTTTTATCTAAAAGAAGTACTTATCTATTATATTAGCATATTAAAAATATTTTCAACATTATTATTCATAGAGAGTTAAGTAAATAACGATCCAATCATTAAATACCTGGATTTCATTAAATAACCTATAAATTTGTTAAAAATATTTGGTAATAATTTTTGATATTTTCGATTATGAAAATGCTGGTTAAAATAGTATATTCTTTTGTCTTCTTCGAAAACAGAATAGTGCATTAATTATACTATTATGTGCATTTCTTAAAATTCTTACAAATTGTCAAACTATACAGCACTTCAATGCCATAACTATTATTCTTCGCGATAGAAAATACATATATACATTAATATTTCAAGTTTTGCAAGATTGTCCGGTAGCAACGTGCTTCGTTATCGAGAATAGGAGTAGATATTGCTTTGCTCTAATTGGCTGACAATTCAATGCTAAGACAGAATTCACTGCGGATTGGGTGCACAATAAAATGGTGGGAATGCTTGCACAAGCTAAGGGAAGTAAAAAAATCATGCAAAACGTGAGGCATTATTACGTACTATATGTATGTATATGTAACCCTATTTCTATACTATATTGAATAGCACTTATTTTTTGAAATTTAAATAGCATGATGAGAAATTCAGCTACCATTTCAACATAAGAAAGAATAAATGTTTCATTACTGTAAAGTAATACTTTGAAATAAATACAAATTTATGAAGACAAGATACATTCTGGGCACTTTGTTTTACAGATTTGAATAATAAGACAAAAATTTCTATTGCTGTATTTATAATACTTAACATGTGTAAGTAATTAAAATAAAAGTCTTATATGACAAATAAATACAAAAATATATCTGTTTTGTGTATAATTAATTGAATGTTTTCAAAGTAATAGCGTAATCGTGAAATACTTTATTGACAATAAATACAAATACACAATTCAATGAATGAAACCCCTGAGAGTAGGCTACAATTTGAGAACCTCTGTCTTTGGGGTTGAGGGGTAAATGTGCGCCTGAAAGATGGCAAATTCTTCTTTGTGTCCCAAATAGGAGCAGTATCTGCTTTGTTATTTATGGAATTATAATTTATAAAGATGACTGAAGTGAAAAAAGATGATGTCGTCAAAATTTTGCATACGTACCCTCTCTGCAGAGTAAGTAAAATTTACTTCACACAAATGCTACTGCAGAAGATTTTGAAAAGAAATAAATATAGTTGTCGTCACCAGGGTTTGATCAATAGAACTCATTACGAGAGAAATAGATTTAGAACTCTCTATAATGTTATAGTGTTATTATTATGTGATTATTAAATGATATATTTTTTTATATTTATCATTTACAAAATACTACTTTAATAAAATTAACTTAGAAATTTATTTTGTTAATATGTATTTTATTTGTTACACTCGCAGAAATGTGATATGCCTGATGAAATGAAACAAGAAGCAATGGAGTTATGCGTTACCGCAGCGGAAAAATATGCATATAATTACGAGAGTGTTTCTCGCATGATCAAAGAAACGATGGATAAGAAATTCGGCGCTTCGTGGCACACGGTTGTGGGCGAGGGCTATGGGTTTGAAATAACTTATCAACTCAAACATTTATTATACATGTACTGCGCTGGAAATTTAGCAATATGCATATGGAAATCGGCGTAGGGAAATTTGAAAATTTTGCAAAACTTTATTAATGTGCAAACAAACGTACAAATTGTATCGTAACGATTTAAAACAAAAATATATATTAACTTTATAAAAGACAATTTACGCTCGAACTATAAGAAACATCGAAAGTTATATACAAGTACATCTACACATACTTTAACTGTTTTTACAGATAAGAAGATATTAATAATTTTTCTACCAATTGAAAAGTATATTTATATCTAAGCAAAAGAAATGTTCATTTTGTCTCAAGA